AAGGGCCCTGCGCCAGCCGTGCTCCCACCGGCCGTCAGCTCTCGGTCACGCCTTTCCTTAAGGGCCGGAGTTGCTCAGCCATTGATTCCTGCCAGCGGCACGGGTTTTATAGGGGTGGCTAAATCTTACCAGGTTATTCTTGCGTGGGGCTGTAGAACAACAACTGGTGTTTGCAGATCTCCAAAGCCTTGGTGATGAGGAGTGTTTGCTTCAAGTAAGGGAGAAAAGAAAAATCGCATAAGCTGTGTGGAGGTTCCTCAGGGATGTTTTGCATAGATGTAAGGTCTTGATAAGTTTTGGAAGCTTTCTTCTACAGTGTGTGTTGTTCCTAAACGTTAATTTGCCGCTATTTACCTGCTGAGATAGAATTGCTTGCTTAGATAGAGTACATGCAGTGGTAGTGAGTGCAGAGACCTGAAAATACTTTATTGGTGGTTTTCAGCGACTTAGGAAATACCCTTGTCTGCTGAACTACTTTCAAAGTACTGTTTGAAACACTGATTAATCTTAAGATCTCTCACATTCTTGTTTTGCAGAATGCTTAAATTTACTTCTATCCATTTTGTTCCTATATTATTCTAACATAAAATTTTGGGGTTATATATTCTGATGTTTTTAATGCAGGTCTTCAAATTCTGTTGTGTAGTTGATTGATAGTACTGGTGGTATAAGTCTGCAAAATATAAAGTGATTTTTTTTCCTACAGTGATAAACACCAGCATCCTGAAGCTCCAGCAGGCTTGTTGGCTTGAGTTAATGAGAGGGTGCATTGATAAATTGGAAGTATGTGTCCTGATCAGTATGACAGTGTGAATTGTAAAGCTCAGTCATTCCATCATCCTTTTTGTAAACAAAGCAGGGTGCTGAATCTCAAAAAGACAGTGTATGAAAAATGTGTTGTTATTTATTATGTTGCCATAGGTGGAGAATTTCAACTGGGGTCCTATACGGAAAAAATATTTCTCCACTTGAAACTTAGGACTTGATTACAAAGTCGTGATTATTATTTATTACAGATTTTGTCCTTTGTCTTGTTTTTTTTTCAAAGAGGTGGACAACTGATGGAACATTCCTCTAGGAAGATTCAAACTGTTCTTACAAAGTAGTTTGCTCAGATTAGACTGAGATCCGTACAAAAAAAAAACCCTCAACCAACAGTGACTGGGAACACTTGAGAACTCCTGAATGATTGATTGAGGTAACTCAGAAAAAACGTTTATTTAAAAAAAAATGGTGTGGGGCAGGGAGGACTTCTTATTACACAAAGCTGTTAACTGTTTGGGTTGACATTAGGAAATGCAAGATCATGACAGCTTGATACTGTGCCCTAACCCAGAGTTTCTTTATTGCCAACGGTTGGTGATGAATCATTTGCAGTTAATAGGCCTGTGGTAGGCAAGAGGGCATAAGAGGGGAAAACAAGGAAAGAGAAGAAAAGGGGAAGGGAGTGCTGTTGTTTCGTGTCACAATCTTGCCACTCAACGGTAAGCTGTTTTCAGGGCACCAAAGGATGGGGGGGGGGGGGTTGGGGAGGGCAGTGCGAGCCACAGAAGGGGTGGGGGGGGGGGTTTGGGAAGGAAAGAGCCACTGAATTCTTAAGGGGCAGACACAAATACCAGTGATATTGTGTGAAGTGGTTTGTGAAAATCTTGCAGGTGAAAAAGTGTATGGGGAATTCTGGAGCTTGTTAATTTTTTGTCTACATAAAGGAAAGATGTGGTGACATGGGGTGGTTTGTAGAATAGCAGCTGCTGGGAAGAGGGAGAGAGAGAAACAGAAAAAGAGAAGTGTTCAACATTATCCCTTGCAGATTGAATAGTGGTTACAAGGAGTGTTTGAAGGGTGCAGAAGCACAGATGTGAAAGCTTGACAGCTGTATGTACACACACAATAAAATATAAAGACTATGTCCTTGAGGGGAGGAACAAAAAATAGCTTGTCTCCTAAGGGCTGGTCTGAACTTGATAAATTGGTACCATTTTATCAGTATAGTTCACCTGAAGAACGTTTCTCTTGTGGGTGTAATTATAACATTGATATTGTATGCCCATATAGATAAACACTTCGCAAAACAGGACAGACTAAGTTGATAGAGGTGGCTTTTATCAACTAAAAAAAGCTTCATACAGAGGGCTTTTACCCTTAAAATAACGGCTTTTATCCTGGTGCCTCCTTTATAAGCAACAGACATGACAGCTGCTAAGACATCAAGGCTTACATAGATGTGTGTGAGGGTGGTGCTGTCTCACGTTACACCGTTTACCTTCCCAGGAACTTTTCAGTGGTTACTGATAGTTAATTATACCTTAAAAAAACCCCTATTTTTGCATTGTATTTTGTGAGTGAAGCCTTTGCAGCTTTTCTTTAAGATCTGGTCTAGTGCTTTTTATTTCCTAAGCTTCTCTGTTTCTGTTTAGGCCTTGGAAGGAAAACATTAAGACTTTACATTTCACAGTTCTGTTAAGCAACTATGGAAATAGAAAAGGAGCACATTTATATTACCCCAACAGGTAAGTAATATATTCAGTATTTTTTTTCAATTAAAATTGCTTAGCTGACCTGAAGTGTTCTCTGTAGAAAAATTGTATTACATGTTAATTTTTTAACAGTACTGTTTTTTAAAAAAAAAAAATAAATTTCACAGAATAGTTCTTCCAATTATATACCTTAGTATCCTGCTTGATGACATTTATTTCAAAATTTGTTAAAGAAATGTTAACATCATGATCTTAACTTATTAAATAATAATGACTCTGAGCTCCTTATCATCTGACTTCCAGTAGTGCTGGTGTGAAGAAAAGAATAAGCTCAAAAATAAAATGTGTAGGTTCATTTGCAAGGTACAGATTCTGCTTTTATGTAGCTGTTTACCTTAAAATTAGAGGAAATAAATGATGAAAGGCTTGACTGGAAGCGAATTGGCATGGGAAAAATTTACTGAACATGTGTTAGAGACTGCCCTGAAATTGACTGTTTTGTCCGTATCACAAATGTGTTTTATGATGCTTAGTCAAGTTGACACAATTTCATGTTATTTTCTGTGTCTTCCAAAGGTTGTGATGATCTGCACTGACCTTTTTATACCAAAGAGCTTTTGTAGGTTTTAAACGTTTTTCAGAAAAAAAACTGTGTATATGTTAAGATGGTATGTAATGCAGTTAGTGGCAGTATGCTCCATATGACCTCTTATTTTAAACCAGAATTAGGTCAATGTAGAAGATACGTTACTTCTCAGCATTTTAGAATTATATTTGGATAATAGGTGGGAAACTGCTACATATGTAAATTGACCTAATTTGGTCAAATGAATTTGTGTGTAGGTAAGTACTTGCTGAATGCTTTGTTAATTAAGGTAGCACCATAAAAGCGCAGATTTTAAGTGTGCCAGCTAGGCTTAATAGCAGGGCAGTAAGATAAATTTGGATAACTTTGCTTCCTATATATTAAAAAGTCTTAAAGTTTATAGAGCACTGTTATTCCTTATATATCTGTATGTATATGATGTAAAAATGAGAAACTGAAAGGAAGATCTGTATTATTTGATATGTACTTTTATAAAATTACTTTAGAAAATTGTTGAAGACTAGTACATCTACTTAACCTATTTTTTCAGCCTAACTAGGTAACTAATAGTGGAGGGCCATTTGGTTATAGTATAGAGACAGAGGTTGCAGCTGGAAACGATAGTGTTATATTAAAAAAAAAAAAAAAGTTTTGTAATGCAGTGAGAAATACCAAGTCTTATGGGTTGGATGTTTCCTGTGGAAGATTTCCTTTAGTCTCGAACCTGAGATCAGGATTGTGTGAGGAGGTTGGACCGCAGCCTCCCCTTTTGTCCTTAGTCATCAGATTCAGGACCGACTTGCATTAACTGTTGGCCATTTTCTTTGGAAACTGAGAAAGTAGTAAGTGGTCTTTGAAGAGTGTAGTTCCTGGGCAGCCAGATTGCAGGTCTAAACTGGAGAAAATCATGGGAGAGTGGACAATGAGGAATTTAAATTCATTTGTCTGAGATGAGCTGCTTGTGTTGATGGGGTCTCCCTGGGGAATGAGAGGAAGGAAACCTGTTCTGTTTGGTTTTGATTTTTTTCCCCCTCTGCAAGCTTTATGCAAATCTCTCATTGTTTTATTAAAATGTTAGACAAACTGAGAAAGCTTGTTGTGGAGAATCTTTTCCTGGATGTGATGCATGCTTTTCTTTTTTAGCTTGCTGCAAGCATAAAATGAATGCTTTTGCGGGAGTAATGAGTGGAAAGATGAAGCTTAGACGGGAATGGCTGCATTATTGTTCAGCTATCTAAATGTTATTTCTTTGATCACAAAGAAGGCAGTTGCATCAAACTTTCTACATTTTATACTGTAGTATCCTCTTTGATACGGGTAAATATTTTGAGGTTGGAAATGTTTTATTAGTGCACTTTGCTTTCAAAACAATTTTTCATGAACCTGTTTTGAATTGAATAAATGTAGTTCTGAGAAGTGTTGCCAAATGAATATTGCTAATTAGAATGTGTTGGAATGGTGAAGTAATGCATTCAGCTAAGTTCAAATACAAATTAAAATACTCCTCATAATCTGGGTTTATGGCAGTGAACTTTTCTGTGAGGCAAGCTTGGCACAGCTGGAAAAGCAGCTGCTTCTGTGTGCGTTTCCTAGGGTTGGGACTATGGGCTCTATCTTTGAGACTCTACTGAATCCTTAAGAAGGGCTGTGTAACTGAGAGCTGGGGCTGTGTAACTGAGAGCTGAGGCTGTTCCCTTTGTGGGTGTGTTTTCCAAATTGCCAGGACTCCCAGGGTACTAAATGGAAAGTAAATGGGTCCCTATGTGCTTTTTTTTATCTTGATGGTTTAGAATGGGAAGAACAACTTAGGAAGGCTTTTGCTCCTAATGCTCTCAATAAGACATAGCTCAGGTGGGGGACATCCTAACTTTGTGAAGTAAGACTTTAGATCCAAATCTTAAATGTGCATTAACTTCCTGGAAGAGTGGAATTACTGCACTTCTCAGTGCTCTGAGGCATTTACAGATCCTTAAGTTGAGAGTGTTTTTTGCTGGGTATGAAACAAAGCTAGTTACCTGTTACATATGATTGTGCTGGGGAATAAGCCATGGCCATTTTAGAAACAGTCTTGCCAGAAGCTACAGTGAGGGGCAATCCACAGAGAAGATGAGAGATCACACTGTTTCAAAAGACTTTATTTATTCTATGAGTCTTCGTTACCAAACTCTCTAGGCTTTGTATTAAACAGCATTTTTTTCCCCCCACAACTTAGAAAAACATCACTACTTTTATTTTTTATTCTTGCAAGTCTAAATCATTGTTTTTCTAGCTGGTGAGCTGTGTTTGAAATTTCTTGAATGAGGGGAATGTTGGTTGATGATTTAGGAAATTAATTTCAGTTTGGTGACTAGTCTGTTAACATTAGTGGGTTCTTACAGAATTTACTGTATTGGCAGTTTTGTTTGTTTCTAAGTCAAGAGATGAGTGGGTGGAGTGAGAACTAGGCACTTAGATCTTACGCACTGAGGAGTTCTGATAGTTTTTGTTTAACAAGGGTGGGGTTTTCTGTGGTTTACCTATTTATAAATGGTTTATTCATTTGCTTTCCAACTCTTGACATAGGCTCTGTTTTGATTGTGGATAGTTTGTGCAGGGGAATAAGGAACTCCTTATTACTGTGATGTGTAGGCATATTTTAAAAACAACATCATTTGCCCTAACAGTGTTGGAAATAAGAGTTCTATTTAATGTTGTAATCCTTTTAAAATGCAACATGTTTTGGTATTCTAACATAAAACTGTTTAAAACTATAACAGATTTTTTGGTTTGTCTCCTTTTTAAGAACTTGAGAATCTAAGTGATGCTCCATTTTCCGGTGATGAAGAAAATGGTGGCTCTGGGGAACGGAAGACTGAAATCAATGGAAATTGGATTCCTGCAACTTCAATTACTGAAGCCAAAATAAATGCTAAAGCAAAGAGACGGTTGAGGAAAAATTCTTCTAGAGATTCTGGGAGAGGAGACTCTGTCAGCGACAATGGAGATACACTGAAGATTGGGGTTGTACCGACGAGCCCAAAGGGGAAACTCCTGGACAGGCGATCCCGGTCTGGAAAGGGAAGAGGTCTACCAAAGAAAGGTTGGTGTAGCTTAGTGAAGAGAGTAGCATGATAAAGATTCTGTCCAAAACATAGTATTTTTTCCCCACTGGGAATCATTTTCATAAAGCACAGTCTCTGTGCAGGCATTTGGTTCTTTGTGTTAGATAGTAGGTGGCAATAGGAGCTAATAGTAGGTGGCATTCTTATAAGAAAATTTTATATGTATATTGTCAATTCTGTCTTTAAGGCAAGTACCTTTTCTTAGCAAATTTAATACAGAAATTTGAACTGTTGGTGGTTCCCAGGACTGTTACTATTGCAAACTTAAAGCATGGCTATATTTGAAAGTACAGTTTCAACCTTCAGTAATTCTTGTGCAGTTTCAAACTGCTTCTAGTATCTTACTGGAAAGTGGTGAAAAGACTGGTTGATAAAGTGGGAACATGTCATACAAACACACTCTTTTAGCATATACTGTTAGTCAGGAGGCGGGCACAAGCAGTGATACATCACTCTCAAGTGAAAGACTGTTGGGTTGAACTCAGAAGTATTCTTTGTAAACTGGTGGTCCTTACTTACTGTCCAATGTTTTTCCAGGTGGAGCAGGTGGTAAAGGAGTTTGGGGAACACCAGGTCAAGTGTATGATGTGGAAGAAGTAGATATTAAGGATCCTAATTATGATGATGACCAGGTAGGCAAATAATTTCTTTGCAATATTGTTTTTTTACTTCCTTTATTGATTTCAATTGCTTTGATGCTTATTACATTAATAGAAGTTTGACCTTGTGAGTTATGCGAACGTCAGCCTAGCTGTACTAAATGCTCATTTTTATGTTCAAGAACAGCTAAAGACAACTGGTGTAGAAGTGTCACAGCGTAACACTCACAAATCTTACCCCATGAGCCCTCTTTCTGTGCCTGACTAGACAGCACCCTTTTCTCAGGGTGGTGTTCACTGCTGGTTCCCACGGAGGTGAATGTTGCAGTGCTGCTCTACATTGCAAACAGGCACCATGTTAAAAACGCAACACAGGCTTTCTCAGGTTGGGAGTTTAGTCTGGGACAGTATCCTTTATGGTTTTTTTCTCTTCCCTGTATTCCCAATGTCTTGTATCTACTTGGTATAAACACTTCAAACTAGTGCAACATTGATAGCCTGGATATTTTGTTTACATGTATTTATTTAGAAAATGTTGTGGAAGACTGTACCTTACAGCCATATTATCGGGAGAAAAAAGTAAAATTTGTTGGGCAGAGGGTGCTTTATGACATTGAATCACTGAGGAAAGGAAATACTGATTACAAACAAAATTACTAAAGTCTCTGAGATCAACACAATCATGAAACCACAAGTAAATTCTGTATAACATAAGCAGAGTAATGGTGGTGTTCTTTGAGCAGAGGCTGTTTGCTGTAGCCATAGCTGCTGAGAGGATGGTATATGGGAGTATGAAAACCTTCTTCCAGTATCAATTTTTTCCCTGCAATTCAACACTTCACATTAAGAGAGATAGCTTAATTTTAAATAGCTGATGAGTGCATAAAAGAAAGTTTAATGAACTTAAGAATATTGAATAGATGAAGAATGAATATTCCGTGGAACTTCTGTATGCTTAGCTTTTCTATGACTGTAATGGAGACTGATGTGATGGAAGGATAGGCTTTTGGACTGCTGCTACACTTCTTGATCATGGAAAGCTTCTTTCCAATACACATAAGTTGGAAAACTTCTTTGCTCAGATTGCTGTGATCTGTAGTATTGCTCTGAATGTTACTTCTGTAGTCTGTGAGGAGTATGGAACTGAATTATGGCAGGGAGATCTGGTCATACTAGAACTCTGGAGACTGGGTTATACAGGAGACGGTTGCTGTGTGATTCTTCTTCCCCCTTGGGGAACGTCTTCACTCACAAATATTCTGAAAATGCCTTTTCTCTGATTCGTATGTGCTATCACCTGTCTGGTCACGCAGTCACTAAGGAAGAGAGAAAAGAGGCAGGCTTGCTGTCAGGGACTGGAGTGCCACTTGCAGGGAAAGGTGCTGAAAGTTAAACCTTGTGCTGTGGCACAGCTAACTGCCGGGCTGGGACCGGAGTTTCTGTCGCTATCCCCTCAGTACATGGGCGCTTCATCTCTGTGTTCACGTGGTGTCAGCAGAACCCTAGGAACAGTTTGGAGTGTTTACCATTGTTTAACAGTAAATTCAGCCTTTCAGTGAAACTCAGCTAACAGTAAATTCCAAGTATATGAAGTATGACATTTAGCCAGCATTGTCCACACTTTAACGGTAGAGATGTAATCTGGTGTTTTCTGGGAGAATACTGACTACCAAGACTAAAACATTAAGGATTTAGAAGATATATTTTGATGCAATTAGCACTGCATAAAATATAAGAAGAGACAGTATTGTTTACAAAAGGGTATATGCTTTTGTTTGTCTTTTAAAATAGGAGAACTGTGTCTATGAAACAGTAGTTTTACCTCTGGATGAAAGAGCATTTGAAAAAACTTTAACACCAATCATACAGGAGTATTTTGAACATGGAGATACTAATGAAGTTTCGGTATGTCGCATGCCTTTTTACTTCTTTATTTTAGAGAGCAAACCTGTAGCATACAAGGGAATCCAGGTGCAAGCTATAAATGAGTGTATAGAGATTTTGGTAAGAAATGTGCAGTAAGAATACCTAAGCAGTTATAGAAATTACATGAGCAGAAGCATATATGTAAATATATGACTATAAGCATATAAATATTTATATATTTGTAATGTGTTTATATGATATAATAAAAATTACGAAATCTTAATCTGTTTTGTTTTTCAAATCTTATTTAGGAGATGCTGAAGGATTTAAACCTTGGTGAAATGAAATACAGTGTGCCAGTGCTGGCTGTTTCCTTGGCATTAGAGGGGAAGGCTAGCCACAGGGAAATGACATCTAAGCTTATCTCTGACCTTTGTGGGACAGTAGTAAGCAAAAATGATGTGGAAAAATCCTTTGATAGACTGCTTAAAGAACTACCTGAATTGGTGTTGGATTCTCCCAGGGCACCACAGGTATATTTGTCAAGTTTTATGCTGGTAATCAAAAGCTTTTTCTTTTAAATTGTGGCTTAAATAGGTCAAGTAAACTGAAATAGACTCTCTATTTTGAAAAATATCTATGGATCGTCTTGATCCCCTACCACTTTCCCAGGCTGGTTTTTTACATTGAGATGGCTCATTTAAATAAAATCTGAAAACCAAGCACATTATAATTGTCTACTTAGAGCTACTTAGAAATTCAGTATTTAATTAAAAATGCTTCTGTTTTGTTGCAGCTGGTGGGCCAGTTTATTGCTAGAGCTGTTGGAGATGGGGTTCTAAGCAATACCTACATAGATGGCTACAAAGGCACTGTGGATTGTATCCAAGCTCGGTAACTTTCTGTTTTATTTAGCTACAGTTTTCTATTCCAAATGCTGAAGATGATCAGGAATTCAGGGCATCGGGATAAATCATGGTTCTCTGTAACTTTTAATTTAAAATAATGAAAAAGAAACCCACAAAGTCTGTAAAAACAGCAGCAACAAAATCCAAAATGACTCAGGTCACAGGAGAAATACTGAAAATGCCTGAAAATGTATTAATACGTTTGAGTTCAGTTTGTCAGGTTTGTTTTCCAGCTTATGTTTGAGGGTGAAAAAAAATGAGCTGAAACAAGAAGTGATTATAGAAGGTTTTGTCTTTAGAAAAAGCTTTAATGTGATTAATGAGTAAATATAGCATCAGGACAGCTGCTGTAAATATGCTGTGAAATACACAAGGGATTAACCATTTTGCCTTATAAAGGTTTGAAGCTTGTGCAGTGCTTTCCCAGACCTTCTCTGTAATGCTTTATTCATTAAGAAATGTAATTGTTCTCCATGACAGGGTGAGAAGTTTGAAGGTGCGATCTCTGACAAAGGGAGACATTTTAATAACTAGCCAGGTTTTATTATTTTTCCCCCATAAGTGTATTTCAGGCTTGATACGGAGGTGCTGAAATCTTGAAGCTTCTAAAAGCTCCATTTGTAATCTTTATAGTTGGGTACTTTTAGCAGGAAGGGAAATGCTGAGCTGCCTAACTTGATGGTTAAAATTGTGAAAATTGTCTGTCAGTTAAACAAACGTGTCCTGTGATTTGAAGGATTGTAGCCTGCATACTGCACATCTGGGATGCTTTGCTGCCTTTGCTGTTTCTTGGCCAGTCTTTTCTGCTCATTAAATCTTAGTGAATAGAGTTATTATTGGCTAGTGCCCAGTATGAGGATTGGGATAACTGTTCCTCCTTTAGCTGGATGGTGCTTAAATGGATCTGAGATTCCTTTTTTTCACCTTCCTTTTTCATTCTTCTCTCAATGAACTGGCAAACCTCCCTAGTTCATGCCATCTTTTTGCAACTATGTGTTTGCCTTCTGAAGTGCTGTTTTGGCTTAAATCTCAAGATTTCATAATTCTTTAGACCCAAACAGAAAATAGTATTTCAGTAGAAAAGCTGTTCTTCAGCGCAGAAGCAACTCAGGCCTCTTTTGTTTGAGTTATACATGCCAAGCTGCATTCTTGGAGGAGCCCAGATACAATCCATCTCTGCGTAAGAAAATACGAAGTTCGTTCTTGTGAAGATGTTTCAGATCTGCTACCATCACAGGATTGTTACCTGTCCTTAGCATGGTGTAACCAGCAGTGTAAAGGTGGCAGAAAGAGAATGTGGGGAGCTAGCTTGTTGGCTTCTTGATCCAGATGTCCCCATGGAATTGCTGACCTTGACTTCTTCCCAGGGATCTGGTCCTTTTCCCCAAAAAGGAATGGCACTGGGGGAAGTTACAGATGCCTTTTAATGTAGTTATTAGAAAACTTTTTAAAAACCACCAACTTTGCTTTCTAGAGCTGCACTGGACCGAGCTACTGTGTTGCTGAGTATGACAAAGGGTGGAAAGCGTATAGACAACGTGTGGGGGTCAGGAGGTGGCCAGCAGTCTGTGAAACACCTTGTTAAAGAGGTAGCTGATTTCTACAAAACTCTTCTTTAGAGCTTATCTTGTTTGGTATGGAGCAAAGGGATACCTACATCCTGTAGCAAAATGATGTCTTGAGTGTTTTGGCTTCTTTCTTAAATTTATTTTTACAAAGTGTATTTTAAAAACTGATATAGGTAATTTTGTTGATTTTGTAGTATTTGTCAGTGGTGGGAACATGCTAGTACATATTCTGTACTGCAAGTATACATTTATTTTTGCTTTAAGCAAAATTTTAAGTGCTTAGTTTTTTAAAAGCTTACAATATAAAGTGGTGAAGTAATTAGAAGAGCCAAGATGAAACTGGCTAAGCTAGATAAACTATTACTATTTTTTTGGCATCACTGATTAAAAGCACTGTAATAACTCAAAAAGAGAGGAAGAAACAGGAATGGTTGGAGATCCATGCTATGAAGTAGGCAGGTTTAAAGGAAAAGGTCATGTTATAATTTCTAAGTCGTGGGAGTAACAAGATAGGAGAAGGAGTAGTTCAGGGGAGAAGATAAAACTTAATCGTACTCATATTAACCTTTTATGGTGCGTCTTAAAGCAGTGTTTTTGGTGCTTGTGTGTCTGTTAACGCTGTGGATAGGTATTTGGCTTACACTGTGTTTCAGGTTGCTGATAATGTCTCAGTTTAATTACATTTATAAAAAACTTTAGCAGCAAGTTTCAGGAACTTGCTGCTGGGTTGATCGCAGATTATCAAAACATTTGACAGCTTTTAAATTTTGTATCTAATTAGTCTTGGACTTTTTGTTTGTTTCAAAAATCAATAGATTGATATGTTGCTGAAAGAGTATTTACTTTCTGGAGATGTACTGGAAGTTGAACGTAGCCTTCAGGAACTGGAAGTACCCCATTTTCACCATGAACTTGTGTATGAAGTAAGGAGAAATCAAAGTCCCTTTAATAATTGTCAGTAATACCAACAGGTTTGGTTTTATTTTGATGTGGGCATGCAAATAATATAACTGGAATCTGAAGCTCAAGTTGTAAGTTCCGATATTATTTGAATAACTAAATCATTTCATGTAAAGTTAATGGTTTGTGTGCTCGTTAACGTGCACATTGTTCAACAAGTAAGCTGCTGCTAACTCTGGAAAGATCCAGAAATAATTTTCGTTTGTTGGGTAAATATTTGAATTCAGATTATTTCTGAAAAAGAAGAGATCAGTTTATTTTCTGCTGAGGAATTGCAGCAAAAAGTCGTACTTTGTTTTGGTGTTTATTTCCTTTTAGTTTCAGATATCTGGGTATTCTAATGGATGTGACCTGTTTTTGTTAAATTCTAGAGCTTCCTTTTCAGGGTGGAATTGTTCTGTCTAGCACATTTACAAAAGTTCTGAGATATTTCAGAACCAGACCATATAAGAGAAGCATCTTTGTTGTATCTGGGAGGCTGTTCCCATTTGTTCTCTTTTATCTGCCAAATTGGGAAATGGTTGTTTACCAATAAAGGCGAACACCCAAAATTCCATAAATTTTCTTTTCAGTAAATGGACTCCTTTTAGAAAATTCCTTCACGACATAAACACAGAATCCTTTTAGTTGATGGGGAGTGTGGAGATTTGTAGATTTTTAAAATTCTACATTCTTCTAAAATCACAGATACAAAATAATCATAGAACCAAAATTAATTCCACAAAATTAATTGCCATCTGTACTGTAGCAACCATATGGATATAGTCATGTAGCTCTCAAACCTGAGCCAGAAAGGCAATACTTTTCACTCTCCAGTCTTTTCTGGTTTTCCATACCTTTTAACTTTATCCTAATAACTTTTCATCAATTTTTCTTTTCAAATAATAATATACTGAAATTGTGAGTGCATGTAACTTGTCTCCCCAGAAAATGCCTAATAATGCATTCACTCCTTTTCACACCTCATATGCTTACACAACATGTACTTGGACCACTGTTTTCTTTTTAGTTAAAACACCTGCATGATTTGTTCTAGGCTATTGTGATGGTTTTGGAGTCAACTGGAGAAAAGACCTTTAAAATGATACTGGATCTGTTGAAATCTCTGTGGAGGTCTTCTGTCATTACTGTGGACCAAATGAAAAGAGTAAGTGTGGCATTTAGAGAATTTTGGGTAAGGTCTTCCAAAATTTGTATGGTTTTTACCTTCTTTTAAGTACTATTTGTAGTCTATTGCTGACTGCTACTTTTTTTAAATTCTCTGTGTTCATTCTGTATGCCATGCAAATAATCTGTCACTGATATACGTACAATACTTATCATGTACTGGAAGAAGTACAGATGAATTCCAAGCAGTAGGTCTCTGTAGGACTGCAAGGTTCAGAATATTTGAATCTTCAGTCAGAGATTTCCAACTGCTTTTATGCAATTGAGTGATTAAAATAATAATATAAAATGCTGCAATATAGCTTAATTTGTCTTAAATATAATTTTTTCTTTTTATCTAGTAGTGCTTCATAACTGAAGTACGATAAGGACCCACCTAATTACAAATGTCAGTTAGAGCAGCTAATATTTTACACATTTGGAATCATCCATGGCTTTGCTTCTAGATATGAATATAGGACAGCTGTTCTGTCCCACGGCAAACTAGGTACCACACAGACCTGTGTGAAAATTCACCCAGCCATACTGCTGGCGGGAAGTGATGAAGTCATCTCTGTGTGTCACCAGTGTTTCCCTTACTGCATAAACTGTTGTGGTCGAGATTTGTGGCCCCATTTCATTCATTTACATGGAAGAAACTTCTCTTCCTTGTGTTACTACCCATGCAATAGCAGCCAGGCTGACATACGCATTCTGTACTGTCTGGGTTTCTGGCTTCTAAAGAAGTTAAAAACCCAGCTGGTGTTTTTATGTAGATAGGTAGTTGTGCAATACCATGGTATTTGCTGGTACTATACCTTGCTTTTCCACTGACTTACAGCTTCTTTGCTTTAGGTTTGTTGAAACTGTCCATAGTATACATGAAGCTATATTGAAATAAATCCTCTGAGTGCAAAAGGGTAATTTAAAATCTTGTAATCATAGAATAACCAGATCATGATTGAATTCTTACACTGCAGGGCTATGAACGAGTTTACCGTGAAATCCCAGATATTAACCTGGACGTGCCACACTCCTATTCTGTGCTTGAGCGGTTTGTAGAGGAATGCTTTCAGGCTGGAATTATCTCCAAACCACTGAGAGACCTCTGTCCTTCAAGGTACTTGTTTTATTGTAGACAGCTGAAGGCACTGCTTTTTGTCCCCACTGTAGGTAACAGAAAGCAGGATCTCATGACCAAAGTATTACAGATTGGAACTGGAAACTAGGGAGGATGGAGAAACAGAGGGTTGGAGTGGTAAAAAGTTTATTAAGAAGCTGCACTGATGTGAAACCTGGAGGCTGGGATAAATACTTGAGGAAAGTAAGCCTCTGGTGGGTCCCAGGCAGCATGCTGCTGTGCTCTCCAGAGGATGAAGGCCTGCCTCTCCTCTGTTTTGCTGATATGCTTGGCAGAGATCAGTGCAGTGCCGAGATGGAAGGTTGAGGTGTCACAATGATCCATGCAGCGACAGTGGAAAACTGTCAACTACAGTGGAAAAAGAACTGAAAAAAAAAAATAATGTTTTTAAGCAATGGTTTAAACATACCAAATGGCAGGAATAGAGTTCTAAGATGAGACAACCAATGCTAATGTTTGTGTCAAAGGGAATAGGACATTTATGTGGAATAAATTCTACATGCCTGATCCCTTCGTATCTGTCTGTTGTGTGGTTTGTATACTGCTTCTTGTTTTGTTACTGTTTACTTACTCATAGCATGAAAAATGCTGTTTGAACTGTAGCTATTCAGTATTCTGTTGTGTCCTTACTGGTCACAGTACAATTTTAAGTTCTATTTCCTGTGGGGAATATGTGTAATTTTTTAAGTATTATGTTAAAACTATTGATCACAATTTACATATAGGTAATCCTATTAGATTAGATCTTTTCCAGTTTGGGTGTTCTGTTAGGCTTCTTAAACCATCTTGACAGCTTGCGATAAATTCAGGTTTTGAAATGTGCGTGCCTCTATCAAAAGCAGCCTCTATTTGTGGACTTTAGATGTAAAATTGAGTTTGTGTATCTTGGTGTCAAATGTTTTGCAGGTTTGGGGTATGGGAGGGTTGAAAGTCATCAAGTATTAATACACTGAGAGGCATTTTTGGCTTCTGTACTTCACTTTTGGGTAGAAAACCACCATTCCTAGGCTTTCAAACGGCATCTTTTGCAAGTGTGAACATTATAAGGTGAGCAAAGCAGAAAGCACTTGACAATGCAGTTTTTTAAAAGCTTTTTGCAAATAAAGCTAGCTGTAAGATTCAGCTGCATTTTAAGCAATTTACCAGTGATCAACAACGTCAGCTAATCTTGCTGAACTTGCACACCTTATATTTGACTCCTGAGGCCAAGAGAAGATTCTTTTCAGCGACAGGTAATAAAACACAATAGATGCTACTTTGAACTTACTGAAAAGATACTTTCTCCTTTCTTACAGGGGCAGAAAGCGTTTTGTGAGCGAAGGAGATGGAGGTCGTCTTAAGCTAGAAAGCTACTGAATGTGAGAGCCAACTCCTGAAGCCTTAGAAGTTTAAAGGGAAAATAGAGATCTATATATATACAAACACGCATGCTTTTTTGGTGTGTGTATGTATATATGTATACACATATACCAAAATTTTAAGAGTTGCTTAGCACAGTTCATATTTTTTTAAAAGCACATGTTTTGGGTACAAATCGTTTTTTTTAAATAGTTTTATAAATTTCAGAAAGAAAACTTCTTTCTTTGGGCATATAGTAGAACAAGTGGCCACTCTGCTGTGGTGGTGCCTTCAAATAAGCTATCTTAAGTGCCATATGTTTATGACCTAATCATTCCATGTTTGCATTGATGTCTGACTGCCGCTCGCTCTTTCAAGGACAGTGTTGTCATCATAAAATCACTGGTTTATACAAAGCTTTATAGAAGGGTCAAGTTAAGCTGCTATGATCCTATTTTCATTGCTGCTGAAGAAATACTGTGCTTTGGGAGGAAAAACAGCTGTTTCTTTGTTTTAAAGAGCCCAAGAAAATGGAGTTGGGTCATAAGATTAATTCATCTGTTTCGGGGAGAACACTGGTTGGTTTTAGCCCCATGTACCAAACTTGTCTTTTTTTTTTTTTTTTTTCTATGTAACTGGAAAAGTTCTGGTAAACCATATTAAAAATATTTTTTTGTGAAGCTCCCCTTTCTGGCTTTTTTTTTTAACAGAACAAATTTGTGTTCAAATCTTTGAAATGTGCACAATTAAGCTGTATATCTAACACTGCCCTTTTGTATTATGATCTGCAGAAGAGCACTGAGTAATTCAACTCAGGGTAAGTATTTACCACACGTTTTTGAAAACCAGTGACTTGCGTAGGAGGGTCCAGGCTGGCTCAGAGATACTCGGCATGCGTCTATGCACAGCAGCTTTGCCAAGGCCTTTCTCTAGAACCAGGCGGGTCTGGGGAAGACCCTCACAGCAGCACGGTGGAGACCCTCCTGCTCCCTTGCGTTTTTCAGTTGTGCGTGTTCAGAAATGCCGGTA